GGCCTCCCTTAAGAGAGGTAAGCCGCCAGAACAAATGATGCAGGGTAAGCGAGCCAGCAATCTGGCCACGTGGCTTTGCAGCGGTCCAAGAGCCGCTAGAAGGGTGGAGCAGCGAGGGACGCCCGAGGGACTACATTTCCCAGAGGCTCCCGCGCGTCGCGCGCCACGTGACCGCCCGGCTGGCGCGCTCCCGGCCGTTCGTTCGCTCCCTAGCCGCGTTCACGGTCGCTTCCCTCTTCTGTTGCCGACTCCCGGCCTCCGCACCGAAGCGGCCGGGGCTGGAGCCAAGCCGGAGCGGAGCTGCAGCCGGAACCGGAGCCGGACCCGCAGAGACGTGGAAACATGGAGGCCTGAGCCGGCGTGCGCCACCCCGGGCTGCGGCGGCGACCGCGGCTTCTACCGATCCCCTCTGCCACCCGCCCGCCCGTCCGTCCGTCCGTCCGTTGAGCTGGAAGCAGACCTCCCCGCCGGCTGAGACAGGTGGGCTGTGGCGCCGCCCCCGGCAGCGCGGCCCTGCCTGGACGCCCGGCGGGCCACCCCCGCCCCAGCTCTCCCGCCCCTTGTCAGAGCGGGTTAGGGGACACCCTCCGCTCCCCGCCAGCGCGGGGGAGAAGGGCCCCTTCCCACCAGTGGGGTGCCCGGGCCACCCCGCGGGGCTGCGCCCGAGCTGCGAGAGCGGGCCCTAGCAGCCCCCGCCCCGCCGAGCACTGTGGCGGGGGTGTGTTAATCAAGAGTGGGAGGGACCTCTGTCCAGTCTGGCGTTGGGAGTTGGGGGGTTACCGTAGGGCAAGTCGATGCTTCCGGAGATGGGGCGATATTGGCCTGACAAATGGACGTGTGATGGGCAGGGCGAGCAATAGTTGTTTGTTTTTCTTTTTTACATACACATTTTATTGAGATATAATTCACATACCGTAAAATTCACTCTTTAACAGTACAGTTAAGTGGTTTTAGTGTATTCACGGGGTTGTGCAACCGTCACCACCATCTAACTTAAGAACATTTCTATCTCCCCCGAAAGAAGCTCGTACCCATTAGCAATCACTCCTCATTACCCTCTTCCCCACCTCCTGCAACTACCAATCTACTTTCTGTCCCATGGATTTGCCTGAGCGATTGTGTTTTAACTGAAGGATGAAAGGGTGGGTGTTTGTGTACTGGGGGCAGTAGTGGGGAGATAAAGCTGATTGGATCAAAGTACTGAAAAGAGGTAGAGAAGAGGTGTGATGATTGTAATAGAGTTAGCAAATGGGGTACCCAGAATAGACTGCCTAGGGTGGCAGACAGAGTGAGAGCCTTCAAAGAGGAGAGGGGAGGTTGGGGAGAGGGGTGTGTAGAGAGGGTACTGTGCTGAAAGATGTGAAAACTTGGGGAGTGGAGGTCATGGAGAGGAATGTAACCTTACCAGAGGAACCCAGGTGCTTGGGCTGATGAGGGCTCAAGAGAGGAACTGGAGGTGGAAGGGAAGAGGATCTATAGGATGAAATACGTGAATATGTGGTTTCTAGAATGATTATCTTGCTTTGCAGTTTTTATTTCAGATAATCCTCTCAGCAGCTCAAGAGATAGACTGGGCAAGTGCGAATATTCCCATTCTGCAAATAAAGAACCAGTCTTTTAGAGGTTAGATGACTTGCTTAAGCTCATAAACTTAAAAATAGGGCAAAATGAATTGGGATTAAAGAAGAATAATTGGGTGGGCGCGGTGCTTCACATCTGTAATCCTAGCACTCTGGGAGGATGAGGCGGGAGGATTGCTTGAGCATAGTTCAAGACCATCCTGAGCAGGAGTGAGACCCTGTCTCTACTAAAAATAGAAAAATTAGCTGGGCATCGGGGCAGGAGCCTGTAGTCCCAGCAACTCGGGAGGCTGAGGCTGGAGGATCACTTGAGCCCAGGAGTTTGAGGTTGCAATTAGCTATGGTGATGCCACTGCACTCTACCCAGGGCAACTGAATGAGGACTGTGTCTCGGGGAAAAAAAAAAAGAATAATTGATGAAGCTATCAGTTGCCAGTGGGTTAAGTGGCAGAGAATTGAAGTGGAGCAATGTGAATAGTAAAGAGATTCAGCTGTTACGAAGTCTGTGTTATGACAGATAGGTCAAGGACTTCTTTTGTTCTTGCATCTTTTAAATATAGAAAAGTTCAAACGGTGACATAATATAATATACTCCCACATACACATTACCCAGCTCCTATAATTATTAACTCATGCCAGTTTAGTTTCCTCTATATCCTTATCCATTCCTATCCCCACTCCAGTTATTTTGAAGGAAATCATAGGCATACCATTTCATCTATAAATATTTTAGTATATATATATCTGTAGAAGATTGAGTTGCTCTCTCTTTTTAATATGCCCACAATAGGATTATCACACTTTTTTTATTCTTTTCTTTTCTTCTTTTTTTTTTTTAACCCTCCCCTGCCTCCCGGCTGCCCCATTGTCACATTTATA